GTCTCACAATTGAACCCATATGGCCGACTCCAGCCCAGTGGTGGGATGATACAATTTCAGAAAGCAATACATCTCTTCAAATTACGCTCGAGAAAATTGCGACGGCGCCTTTGCCACCATATGGCCAACCATGTGACTCCTGGCTCGAGGGCCCGTTTGGTTGGTTTGAGGTTAACAGAAAGGTGTTAACGGCACAGCTCAGTCACTGGTACCGCAGCCAGGGCACAGGAGCCCCGGCCGTGTCGTCGGCACTCGGCACGTGGCTTAGTGGCGCAATGGCTCTGGATTCCGGCGAACGTTTCCAGGCGCGCGCGGCGAAATATTATAGCCGCGCTGGGACCATGTGTTCCCATAATCAGAGCGGACCAGGCCGGACTCGGAGGCGGGCTGCATTTGTTCTGCTACCTGCACCGGGCGAGCAGCGCAGCGTCGATGAAAAGCTAGCTATCCTGAGCCCGTGCAGTGTGATCGCATGTAAAGCGCACCTAATGGAGAGATTTGATCCGGGCTGCGAAATGAGTTCCGAGTGAGTGATGGTCACGGTTTTGTGGAGGTATTGAACTCCATGTGATTGTGATTGATAGAGCGATAGTCTAGGCATTACAAACACTGCCGGTGAGCTAAAGTATTTTTGTCTTGGCCTTCAAGCTCGCAGTCCGTGAACGGACCAAGCGTGGTAACATCTCCATGGGGATGCCATTTTGTCTGTTTATTATCGACAAACATTTGGTTTCATTATTTTTGTCTAAATTTTGCATTGTAGAAAGCCGTACTTTCTTATGCAAGGTTTGCTACACCGACTTTTAAACCATCACCAACACCGTTCTCATCGTTCGGTTACAAACCTTACTGACACTCATTCGCGGGACGGTGTATGCGAGGCCACTGTCAACAAACCGTCCAACAACGTCCCCTTGTTGGCGCTGAATTTGATCACCGTCTTACTACTCACGAACCATCGGCGCTGCGTCCTTTCATAGTGGGTCGATCAGACATCCAATTATGTACAGCTCCCGCGATGGCTCGTCTTTGTTTGCTGCCGTAACAAAGTTCCGCCGCCTGCGCTCAGTTTGAGGACTAGTTAAAGGTGTGAGTCAAACACCATTTTCGATAGACCATTGATGGGTCTGTTGACTGAAGCTCCTTGCATTCTAGGCTGCGCTGCTATGGCATGGTCCTCTCGACAGGTCTTTATGACCCGACAGGCGGTTGTAACTTCGTCGCTTCACCGCTCTAAGTTTTCCCGTCAAAACTGAATAGCCGTAAATCACCTTGTCATTTTCCTTCAGTTAATGATCCCCATGATGCGGCCTCTTTGACGAGAGTCTAGCAGCCAACTTCTCGGGCTTATTCTCAAAGACATTTTAGTGGCGGCCTTTCTGCAGAATGGCGTCACAAAGCCTGGACGGCGCTGTCGTCACGTCCCGGCCGTCTAGCGAGCCATCCTCGTTCATGACCGTCGCCCCTGCCTGCCATTCCAATGCATAGGTCTGGCTCGGCCCGCCGGTAGCCGGCTCCGTCAGTGGAAAACTATTTTCAGAGCCAGCAGACACGCCCATTCTGTGCTCAACAGATGAGTTTCAGGGGCTGTCTAAGTGAGCCACCCCGAGGTCACAACACATTAGTGAGTCTAGACGACTTCCAAATGGCCCATAGTTGTCGTAATTATCTCACAGAATCCTAATGAGTCTTGGGCTTAGGAGGCTGGGTGATGAATTGAAAGTAGGCAAAACACCTTAGATGTAAGCCGTAGCTTTTCGACCGTGACATTTAAGAGGTCGACAACGTTGGTATTGCCCATGTTCATGATTAACCCGGCTAGTGCTTGATACTTATAAAATTGGATGAATATCGAGCACCTCTTGTTGTCTCGGATTGTCCAGCCACCTTCGTCTGGCAAGTACGAGGCCTCTGTCGGTCTGTTGGTCCCTCTGTCGGTCCGACATCCCCCCCCCCGTCGCGTCGGCCCGACGAGCGCTGTCGGGGCCGCCGCGTCGATCGTCTGGTCTCCTCCGGTAATGGTCACTGCTGGCCACCCACGTGATGCGAATGGCAACGCCGGCGACGCAGCGCGACTGTCGCGGAAAAACGGTCAGCTCGGCCGGCTGACACGATGAGGACTGAAAACTGCCGGCCGAGCGTGGAAAGACGGGCTGTCCTGAATATGGGAGCTGCGTTAAATGTTTGAAAAGAGACTGCGCTCTTCTAACTTTGTGATTACAGCTACTGAATTGAATTGCAAATTGTTTCGTAAATATGAAACCGGGATAGGAAGTGTTTTACTTTAAGTTTCAGTGTTTTTCGGCGTAAAATTAATCAAGCTCTCAAACGAAGCAGCGTATTAAATTTCCGCCTGCTTCTCGCTGCCCATTTTGACACTGCCTTAGCGCGGCACTCTTTCGAGCCGCTCTGTGTCACCTGATACTCGGCACACACAGCTGCGAAAATGGAGAACGACTACACGAGAAAGTATTACGGAGACCACCCTTCCCGCCTCTCGCGCGACGCCCGGCTCGCCTACGGCTAAACGCGTTATCCCGCGCCGGGCCCGGGGGACCGCGCCCGGGCCACGCTCGGACCACGCCGTGGGGACAGTAATTTGGGTCTGTGCGGGTCCCCGGGGCGACGTCAGCAATGTCCGGCGACCCACTGGGCACGCGCCGCTGAATGAGGTCAGAATAAGGCGGGTCAGAGAGAAAGGGATTGGAAGAGAAAATAATAAAAGGGTTTTAGTTGAATGGTTAAGTAGTTGACGACAGCATTATAATTTCTGCAATGATATATTATTTGTATGTTTTAAAGTTTCCTTTTAAGGGGTCGGTCAAGATTTGATACTTTTTATCTTTAATTATGCTGGAATTTGCTATATAGCGTTGCAACAAGCTGTAGGCACTCGCTATCGAAACGTGTAGCCCCGCTCAAAGCGAACTCAAAGCAGTGAGCTCAAAGCAGTTCTTGAGACGTAGCGGAGCAGTGCGTTAGTCTATTCAGTAGAGCCAGGTGACTCCATCTTCAGGTTTGTGAAAGGTTAGCTGCAGCAAATCATTAGCAAACACTAAATTTAGGCGTATCGGTGCGGCTCAGTCGTGCCGGCACTTTGTCAATTAAAACGTTCCCAGGCAGCCCCTTAAACGACGCTAGTCACGCTAAGGAATCGTCAGCCACGTTCTTAGTGAATGGAGGATCGCCTTGAATGGAATGGAGTGTGTCAGAACGAGGTTAAAGTGTGTATGCGTGACTCGGTCGTTTGGCTTTCCGATTCACAGATAGATTTGGAAGGTGTCGCCGCACGTGGGGAAAATGAAAGAGGCCGTCTATCAGTAATATCGCAGTGCAGGGTATGGGCCCTGCGGTCGCAGCGTAATTTGTGCTTTTTGTGGTAAGCGGAGTCAGTCGCGCCATTATTCAAACGAGCGTTGCGAATTTGACTAGGGCACACGAATCGCCTTATCATCATATCTTTCTTTAAAAAAAGACAAAACAAAAAAAACATAGGTACCATGGACTAAAGGAAACATCATAAATGCTGGCTATTATCGTTTATAGTTCAGTAGTATTGTATGTCGAAACAGTCGAAAAGACATACGTTTTGTCTGTATTATTATTATTATTATTATTTTGTTTTTGGTCATAGCGTCCACTTCTTGGCGTTGGCTTTCCGAGTGCCGTTCTAGAAACTGCTATTCTTATACCATGGTCAAACGACCCCTGTCCTCACGTCAGTTCAGAGCGTTGGACAGTTCAATACCGAGTCTCATCTGGAGGACGGATGGGCGCGATGGCCGCACTGACATGGCCATGTATCGCCTCCGGGGCCGTCGGGGACCGGCCATCCATCCGGCGCTGCCGTCAGTCGGCAGCCAACGTAAATCGGTCCCGGGCCACGTCCGCGTATTCCCGGGCCAAAGGTTAAACTGCCGCCCGTCTGTATCAATGTCCAACCATCGCCCCTTCAGGCGTCTCAGTTCGACGAAGAGGCTCCCCACAGGACAGGGCAGCGGTTCGACCATCGCGGTTCGGCGAGAGCGCCCGATCGCCGATCGTAGATCGCTGAGATTGCGTGCGATCGGTCCCTGCTAGAGATGTCAATCGGATACCAACTTTTTGGTATACCGGCACCAAACCGATACCAACTTGGTATTTGGTATTTCAATCGTAATGTATTTGGTATTTTGTTGGTATCATAAACCCTCACTTATGTATACGAGGCTAAGAAATCGGTAAAAAGTTGGTATTTCCCTCATTTTCCCAAGTTGGTTTGGTTTCGGTATTTCCCCGTGGTTTTGGTTGGTATTTGGTTTGGTATCGGTATTCCGATTTTCCGTAATTGACATCACTAGTTCCTGCGCTGCTGAGCGTATGTAAGTGTCGTTCAATATGTGAAAAATGATTTTAGGAAGCTAAAGACAAGCTCATCTTCGGGGGTTTGGAGATGCCAGAATTATCGAATTATGTTATCACTACAGAGGTAGGTATAATCATTTTATACCTGATTGTTCAGATATTGTTCATCCTTCGTTAGCCGCCTCGTAATAGCGACCCAGAAATAACACAGCCAGACTCATGGACTGTTTGACCGTGCTCTTAAGTCTAACCAACAATTGGGTTTATTACCCTAGTCGTATGGTGGCATCGCTTCCAGCTCAGAGCAGCCGCGGGACTCACGCCGCCTCCGTGTACTCCTACTCCGCTCACTAGATGGCACTAGTGGTGAACGCCTGCAGTGGTATGCTGTACCGCAATACTGTCTCATGCGCGAACGGCCGCGGGACGAGTGTTTCGCTGCATGGCACGGTGAACGGGCAAGCCTATCGCTGTTGTAAAGAACTTTTGTATCAATTCCACCGTATACATACTCATTGCGATGTTACACTTTGAAACAACTCGCCGAAAGCTCTACAGATCTCGGGCTAAGTGTACGCAGATAAATGCCGCTATCCCCGTTTCGCCCCATGGCGCCTGACGTCTTTCTTACCTCCGCCTCTCCCTCGCTGTCCCAGGAGCGTACGTGTCGCTAACAGCCGAGGGTACTATCGTGGTGGACGGCGTGCTGGCCTCGTGTTACGCCTCGTTCGACCACGACTGGGCCCACGCGTTCACGGCTCCGCTGCGCTGGATGCCCGAACTGTTCGAGAGCCACGCCACTCGTGACGACGACGGGCCACGACGTGAGTAAGAGGGTGGAAGGAGAAGAGGGGAAGGGAGGAAATGAGAGGAAGGGAAGGGAGTAGAGAAATGGAGAGATGTAGCGGTTGGGTTGTTTAGGTTGGTGATTGGTGATCGTGCTTAATGCTGAAAGTCGCATGGAGAGGTGTTGTATAAGCCTTTCGAAGTTATGAACTTAGAAAAGGTTTCTATTTTTTCAGAGAGCTTCTGTGCATTTATCTCAACCTCCGTGCGAGTTGTCTTTCAGATGTTACGTTGAGCGTCTTTACCTATGCAATGTGTCACCTTGCCTACTGACACCCCGACCCCACATTCGCCGGCCAGTCAGCGCTGTATCTGACTCCCTCCCCCTCTCGCAGCTGTGGTGGAGACCCTGAAGAGTTTCGGCCGGTGGTTGTTCCCCGAGTCAGAGTCTGGTCATCGTGCCGCCGAGGACGACTCGGTCGTCAAACTGCCGCTACTCGCCGCCCCCGCCCCCGCCCCCGCCCACGCGAGCTCGCCCTAGACGGGCCGGACCCGCCGCCGCCGCCGCCGCCGCCCGGTGACGTCACTGTGACGTCATACTGTCCCGCCGACCGCAGGCCGCTCTGTTGATGTTGTGTTCTTTCTGTAGCGGTAACACTGACGCCACCAAAGTGATCGCGCTGCTGCGTGGTGGGCACTCATGTATTGATCTTAGTTGTACTGATAACTACTTATCGGAAACAAGCGGAACGCCGTGCTCTTTGCAGCAAACCAAAGAGCATGTCCAAAGCATGTTACCAAAGAGCATGTCCAAAGCATGTTACCAAAGAGTATGTCCAACGGTGAATCGACTTACAGACCGACAAGCACAGCACCGTTATTTCCTTGGCGGGCGGCTCTATTGGTGCTTGTGAAAGCGCACAGTAAAAGCGTAGCATCACTTTACCACCTTCCCTTGAGAAATGCCAGAAAAAAGTTACTGATTACCCTTCTCAGACCTTTCCCGGGCAACATTCAGAGCCCCTGCGATGTGGAGTGTGTCTATCCCTCTTCTCTAATACGGTTTCCGGGTGGGGTGAGACAATCCCCCCGGGCTCCCCCCCCCCCTGTATCAGGAGACAGTCCCACTCCCAATTCCGGTCACTGATCACCCGAAGGAGGCAATGACGTTTGGATGGTCCGCAACGAGTTCCGACTGCCCCGATCAGCTCGTTGGCTCATCAGCGTCGCAAATTGGATTAATGGCGACCCACGCCTTGTGCAATCGGAAGAGGAATTCCTCGCCAATGATCTCTCAGCAGTGATAGTTTTTTTCTAGGATGTTTTTTATTAGTAAAGCCCTTGTTACAACCTGTGTCCATCAGTTGTGCGCTTTTATCTTCGTATTTTATGTATGTTCGTTCTGTTTGCTTGCCTCTTGATGCCGGGAGTAACAACATTCAATGCTTGTATTTTATGGGACGGATCAAACTTCAGCAAACTAAAAGGGTATAACCTACGGAAAAGGAGACGACGCACCGTAAACTGTAGATCAAGAATGCTTGCGAAGCGAAATGCGCTCAACGGTTCCCTACTACGAACGTTTTCTGAAGGTAGTGTGGACATATGATGTCGCGAGCAGCTTTCAAGGCTGCTGGATGAGCTTGTCATGCTGCGGGATAATCACACATATCACTGGGCTGTCCCCGGACAGTGCGCTGTCCTTGCTATGTCTCTCTGTGTATTGTGCTATATGCTGTTAAAGCGTTCGTGATTGTGCAGGCGGTACAGTAACGATCTTCCTCCCGTAGGTAGTTTTAGATCGCTGAAAGTGAACTCTTGTTCATTCCACCTCCGAAAACATCATTCAATGCTACTGTGTATAGTCTTGTAATGCTTTCTATACAGAGGGAAGATTGTCACTGTACCGTCTTATCCTTGTGAGTCGATGAACGAAACATATCCCCAACATATCACGTGCGACAGGCGGAGTGCTCTCCCCGTCTCAGCAGACATATCATGTCGTGTGAGGCCGTGCCCGTTTTGCACTGAGAGCGCGTCTGTTTGTCTGTCTGTCTGTCAGCGTGGGCCGCGAGTGGCTGGCGCGGCCCAGGGCGAGTCGCTTTGACGCCGACGTTTCGTGACGTGTCTGAACGTGGCAGGACGTGTCGGGACGTGACAGGACGTTAGCAAACCGTCTCCGTGACGAGGGTTTGTGCCGGAGCTCTGTTGAAAATAGATAAAATGCCCTTAGCCCAACAACATCCCGAAACATGAGACGAGATAGGTATCGTCAGGAAGCAGTGCGTAACAGCTGGACGTGACTGTCTGCTCTAACATCACTTTCGGATTCCCAGAATGCGGGCGGTCAAACGCACTGACGCCAGGCACGGGGTACACCTCTGAACGTCAATGTTGTGGGTGCTTTGAAAATAAACGTTCATTTGGCAGAGGCAACGCCTGGTTTCGGCGAGGACTGAAGTGGACTGCGAAAAGAACTGCTGGGATCTTGCGAAGTTTCTCAGGGCAGAAAGTTGGGGAGACCTGCCCGAAAACTTTTTTGAGTTTTGAGGGCTAACGCCTATCAAAACTCATGTCTGCCAGCCAGTCCCTAACTGGCAAAGCCGCTTCGAGTTCCGGTCCGCCCAAGCTCTGCAGGACGGGCTCCCGAACAAGGATCTGTTAGAAGCGGATCTGTTGGAAGAGGATCTGTTAGAAGCATACCAAATCGGGCCCTGCCAGCGGGTTGCTATCGAGCCGGTTTCCACCTGAGCTCCACTCCGAGTACCAATCATGTGTCTTTACCTAACCTTTGCTAGCCCCGCAATGTTCTGATTCCGGAGGCACCATCTTTGTCTGGGAACTAATGTTCGCATTTCTTCGCCAGGCACGGGCACCGTCCACCATTTTATGTTCACCGCCGTCCCACGTCATCAAATCTGGTCACCAAGCTTTCACGATAACCCTAAAAGCATTTTATCGTCTCGGCCATCGCATTTCATCTCCAACCTTTGTCCGCATCTCACCGCGGGGCTCGTATCCGGGAGGTCGAGTGGCAAAGTTGCACACTTGGCGCGGGGCGCATGGGAACGCCGCCAGGCAAAGTGGCGCGACGGCGGCCGATACGGCGCAAACTTCTGGCCACTGGCGTCCCTCTCGACGGGCGTTTCGCGGCGCGGTCGGTGCGAAAATGCCGCAGCGTTCCCGGGTCACGGAGGTCGGCCGGTCGCTGTACAGCCGCTGAGTTTATGGTCGAGTCAACCCTGTCTACCCACGCTTCTGTTGCTGCTCTCGCTGTTGCTACTGAAAGCAGAGGACTGACGCACAATCATTGTGGGAAGTTATCAGAAGCCAGTAAGCAAAAAAAAAAACGAATTTCAGGATAAGGTACGATTGGTGATAAGAACGACACTTCATTAGGTTCAGCTTTATAACTTATTATTTGACTAATAAGTGTTGCGTCGTCCATCTTCTTACTACTTTTCATCTGATCCATCGGATCATTACGTCGCATTGTTAAGTCAGTCAGCTTATGACGCAAATATATATTATTCGAACCGGACGATTCCTTTGTCGATAGTTGGAGCTTAGCCGAAGATTGGAAGAACAATGCTGGAATTATCCAGAGGCTTAGCATACGCAAGAAGCGTAACGAATTAGACCTATATACTGAGCCGAAAGGTAACTAAGCTAGATAGCGAGTGCAACCGCCTTAGCTTAGTAGAGAACTTAGCTCGAGAGGCTATGACGCTCTCAGAACGCGGATGAATATGCCTCGCCTAAGTCAGGCGAAGTCAGGCCTAGTAAGGACCCGCTTTAGCGTGACTACTATAATAGATCGTAGCTTACAGCGGTCTGGCTGAAGAGGCTCTGTTTAGACTGTTTAGACGGCGTGTGTTCGGTACGGTCGTGCAAAAGTGCAAAGGTCCAGTTCAATAGACCCGCCAATGTCAGAAAAGATCGATTGGTCGGGTTCGGTCAGATCCGGTTCGGTAGGCCTTTTAGGACACGGCTGGTTTGATGTGAGCCGTGCTGAATAGGCTGGCGTCCGGCTGCACTTTGTTTTCTTAGTCCCCGATACAAGAAGAAGCAATGCGTCTAACTCGGCCTCTAAGTAGTCCTATGACCAACCCACTCTGTCCTATGGCGATAACTTCATCACAAATCCATTAAAATTTGCATAAACATATCAAAGCCTTTTGTGTGTACGGAAGCATGTGAACAGATTGGAGTAGGACACATCCCGTGCTATCCCAACAAGTTCGATGCACAGGACTCTGCTACCTGCTGAAAAGCTCACCTGCCCCCCCCCCCTCCCCCACATCTCCAAACAGAACGGACATGAACATCATATGTATTGGGTAGCCCCTACCATAGTACCACAGTAGCCAGTGCCAAGTCACAGTTCTGTATGATACATAAACATGACACATCACATTATACACACTCGGCACCTTCCAGCGAACAGCAACAATGCACATTGGACTAGTTAATACTCTAGCGCGATAAGATCTTGTGACCGGCAGAGGCCATATGGAATGTGTATCGGTGCCGTGGCCAGCCCTCGCTGACGAGCCGTTCGGGCCCCAACCTGGACACCACACGCAACACAACACAGTACAATACGGACGCCAGAATAGCATACAATAGCACGAATCGATCTCCCGGCGGCTGATACACACTGAAACGGCCCCGGCCCCGGGCCGCTCGGCTCCAGGGAGAGCCAATGGACCAAACAGCCGCGGCTAGACGGACCCGGGTCCGGACCCGAGCCCTCGTCCGGATACCGGACACACACAGCCCACCGCACCAGCCCCGGCACCAACCGCACCACCGTGGGCACCACTAGGAGCACCATGGCGGCACCAGTTCGGACACCACTTTGGGCACCACTCCAGGCAGTGTCCGCCAGTGCAGAATCCGCCCAGCCCAGGCTCACTCCTCCAGGCACGGGACTCGAACCTTACGGAAAGAAGCAGACACAGTAGTAGCGATAAGGGTAGCGCACGGCCTCCACTCTAACGCCTCTGATGTGTCAGTGACACGTGTTCGACTGTCAATGAAAGTGCAGTCCGTGACACGCCATGTGACACAGTCAGTTCAGTCGACAGTCGCTGCGACACTGACACGGCCCTGACGGCTGGTCTGTGTAAATTGCAATGCAGGGCTCGACCGTTCAGCTGCCACGGAGGCAGAAAACGGCCCCAGCGGATCAGAATCGCAGTCCGTCAGCGTTGGACCGTCTCCACGCAGTGGCACACGCCCCACGACTCGACAGGGCACTGCCCGCTCCCATGCCTCTTTCTCTCTCCACTTGTATGCATTTGTCTGGTGGACCTGGTACTGGAGACGGACTCGTCCCAGTCCATGGTTGGCAGGTAGTGACTCTTGGATCGACTCCCGTTCCAGCGGAGGAGTCACCGACTCCTTACACCTGGCTCCCGGGTTCCTCGGCGGTTTTCTGACTCGTTCACCCTCGTCTCTGGGGTCCCTCTGTGGTATTCTGACTTCTTACACCTGGCTCTCGGGTCCCTCTGCGACGTGTCTGAACGACTCTCGCAGGCTGGTCAGCTGCAGGCCACACAGGTGGCCATACACCTTGTTGTACCACTCTGGGGAGCAGCCCCTGTGAAAGAAGAAAGACGTCAGTTAGTGACGGATTCACTTAGTCTCGGTTAGATATGGACGATGTAGCATCAGTAGCCTAGCGGCAGAGGATGTATAAATGCGATAAACTTGGTATGATGCCTCACTGAATTCAAAATGACTCTAAAATAGCGATCTTTTCCGAACTCCTTAGCTATGCAAATCATTTGCGGTTCCACACATTACAGGAATATTCCATTTGAATGCATCACTGGAAAGGAAGATATGCTTACATAAGCACAACCTTCCTACCAGTGTCCGAAATCATATTTATGTATTCCCGTTACAAAGCAGAGTGCGGGGTGGGGCGACCCGCCACCTGCCACAGCTGCTAGTGTGGGATCGATCACCGGACGACCGCCCATCGGTCCGCCTCTAACACGAATCCTGCCCACGCCGGCCCAGACGAGGGCCATTCCACGGTGAGAGGACATTTCGGACGGCTCAGCGCCGACTATATATCCTGTGATAGACGACACTACATCAGGTCCGCACCGGTCGGCGGCCATTCGGCTCCCACGCGTCCCAGCGGACCGCGGATTTATCATCATATCACCATAAGAGAGCCAACTGAGCCCAATAGCTCCCGGAAGCGTCGCCGACACAGCTTCGGCTCTCTCTCTCTCTCTCTCTCTCTCTCTCTCTCTCTCTCTCTCTCTCTCCTCCCGATTTTCTCAGATCTCTTGAAAACCCTTGTAAAGCTCTTAGAAGCCCACAAGAGGCGTCTTATTTCATCCGGTCATCTTCCCTCCCGCTCGCTCGGTTACCACAGACCACTGTCTCGCTCACTGGAGGTCACAGGTCACCAGAAAGGTCACCTGACGGCTGACCTCTGACACTAACCTGTGGTCGGCGCGGGAGAAGTGGGTGACACGCGACTTTCCAGCGCCGCACGGCTCAATCAGGTACCGGGAGGCGAGCACCACACCGCGCCGGCCGCCGGGCTGGACCGGAGAATCTGCGGAGGGAGACACTGTGGTCAGAGGGAGGGCTCACCACGGGGGAGGGCTTGAATTAACACCGGCAGAAAGTGGAACACCCAACTGGCTGGTAAATGGGTGCTAACCAGAGCCCTGACCCTGAACAAGAGCTGAACTGGGACACATCGCCATCACCAAACTCTTGCGATCGAACTGTAGTCGAGCACGGTAAATCGTGCGATGTGATGGACTTATCAAAGGCTTTAACAACTCAACAGTGCGCCATTGGCAGCACATTGTGCCATCAGAGATCGTAATGGGGGCTGCGTGCAGCGCTCTAATATGTCAATCACAGGTAGATGGAGATCGATTATATTAACTACAAGCTCAATAAGGCTACGCCAGTCTACCTATGTTGTCTATCGAAACCGTCCAATCACGACACATTCACAAGGCCTAACACAGCGAAAGTGGAAAATCATGTCTGGCGTCGATGAGGTGATGGCAATTTTATCGCTAACAAATTGACGAACCCTGTTTTATGCCTAGCTTCACAGGCTCGGCTGAAAAGTTGCGGAAAACTAGCGTGCGGCGGGCGCATTTCTGGCGGCGGCTCGGCTGAAGGCTCAGCATCGGCTCAGCGACGGCGGCAGACATTTCAAACCCGTTGAATAATGAACTCGGCACGACGGGTGACACCGAGCCGGCGGCCGACACGGCTCAGGGGAGTTACCACGGGGCGGTCCCGTATATTCACTCACCAGGCCCGTAAAACATGGATATTTCTCGGAAATTCAGTGTCACACCAGTCACCAGGCCTTACTCTCTATATAACCACCCGACCCACTCTGTTCTACGTCGATGGACTCACCTGGGTGCTCCACAGACGTCTCGACGACAGCGCAGGCGCCCCGCGGCAGGTCCGAGCGCCAGGCGCGCAGCACGCAGTACTCTGTGACAGGCAGCGGCTCGACGGCTGACACGGCGTACTGGAACACCTCGGCGTCCGCCGCCAGCCGCTCCACCACGCGCCACTTGACCAGCCGCAGGTCGTAAGCGTGCCTCTGGCGCAGCAGGCGGTGCAGCACCTCGGCCGGCGGCGCCTCCAGCTCGACCCCGGCGCGCCACAGCCGCAGCTGGTGGCCGTCGCCCACCTTACGGTAGGCCAGGTCGAGGCCCGGGTCGTCGGCTGTGACCGTCACCCAGCCGCGGGGCCGGTCGCGCGCCTCCCGCAGCAGGGCGGCGCAGCAGGCGTCTGTGTAGGCGCGCCAGCTGCCCGGCTGCTCCTCGGTGCCCAGCGCGGGCAGCGCCACCGGCTGCGACACGTCCAGGTAGGAGAACCGGCAGCCGGACAGCAGGTCCTCGGGCAGGCAGAACAGCGCCTCCGACTGCCGGGCGAATAGATAGAGACGTCAATAAATTGGCGGTGGAACGGGGAACGGCCGGCCAACGCACAACGGCTGGCCCTTTACCACTGAGAGTGACAATTCAAATGCCTACTCCAGCACGCAAACAAGACAATAAATACGTGAAATATGAATAATCCAGCGGCACTGTTCACGTTAAAATTGCCGTTGAGAATATCCTATCATTTCCATCCTTATTCAACAAACGCAGACCAGAGGTATTCGACCCACCTGTCGGATGAGCGCGGCCAGACACTCGTGCGCGGCACGGTTCTCGTTGAGCTCGCGCTGGTCGGGCACCCCTGCGCGGCGCGTGCGGCGCGGCGAGGCGGACGCGGAGCGCTGTGAGGTGACGGAGAACACGGAGGGCGCCAGGCAGACGGCCAGGTTGTGCGCCGTCATCTGGTTGACGTAGGATGCGGCGGCCACGTCCGAGAGGAAGGCCAGCAGGGTCTGGAGGGCCAGCCGCGACTCGTCCGGCATCAGCAGCAGGGCGCACTTGGTGGCCTCCAGCCGCAGCCCGGACGGAACGTCTGTAAAGCGGAGGGAGGGGCGGGTTAGAAGCTGTGGAGCAGAGGGAGGGTTAATTAGAAATTAACGAGTTATGGTAAGGGAGGCAAGACAGACCACGGAAGGGAGAGGATAAAAAAGACACTGGCCGGAGGCGTATCAGAAGGGAGGTTATATCGATCATAGGGTGGACACTGGACAGGTCATGTATGGGTCAATGGTTAAGTAACATAAAAGGATAAAGGCTAGAAGTCCCGGGGAGGGACATTTGTTCAGACAGACAAACACAACAACGACCTATAAAACCCCACCAGCCATTTCACAGCAGCACTGGCCTAACACAAATGAAATGAAACTCCCTATTCGATCGCTCCGGCGGGCGGCACCGAAACATCGCGTGTCAACACAGACAGGCCGCTGCCGGTGCCGCTCAAATATCCATTAGGTAGATTGGCGATAAGCTCATTTATAACATAGGCAATACGCCCATTGCCACCATTGTGTTTTCATAACCCTTCAACATCCCCTACCATCCCCATTGCGTGAGTTCTTGGTCCGCTCATCAATACTAACGCCCTATCTCATAAAATAACACCGAACGTTTTCCAGCCACATACACTTACACTGATAGATGGCGATCAGGATCTCGGAGATCTTGTGCGTGAGCAGCACCTCTGGCAGCTCCCTGAAGTACTGTTTGATCATGTCGGCCACGTCGTACGCCTGGTGATCGTCAAACGGCAGCGGTTCGTCGCCGTCGGCAGCCTCGCACATCTCACGGACCTTCTGGATCCGCGAGCGCACGCCAGACTTGCGAAACAGGCCCACCTAGGAGAGGAGGGGGAGGGGTTGTAACGACCTCCGACACGGCCGGCAGTTATTGGGCGGGGACTGGGGGGGGGGGGGTACGTACCTACTTATCAACTGACTAGCGCAGGGTGGAATATGCTACTCAAGACTGAAAGTAATTAACATTAAAGCGCAACATTTCAGCACAGTTTGTTCTCAGGTATTCCCAGGAAGCTCTGCACCGTGGGACGTCGAATCAATGCAGTGGCACATTCCTCATCGCTCTACCTCGCTCCCGTCCTCTCTCCCACAGCTCAATCGACCGCCAATGCCCTCCATCATCTCTGCCGCCTCAACTCGCTGCCGCCGCGCCGGTGGGCTCGACTGCCCCGGGGCGGCATCGCTCATACCGGGGCCGGAACGCACCTGGGCCAATTGAAACCCATACACTCGATCTAGAGGATCTAAAGGGAGCCCATTCATCTGGTCCAAACGAAACCCATCCTACAGGTCTCAAGGAGAACACACCTGGGCCAAACGAACCCGCCCCCCCCCCCCCCCCCAACTGGTCCAAACGAAACTCATAAATACACCCGGTCTAAAGGCGAACCCGAAATTGAAACTCACCTGATCGAGGGCGTTCTTCCGCAGGTAGTCCATGGCGGCGACGATGGTCGGTGGCAGAGGGTGGCCACTACGGCGAGCCGTCACCGTCAGAGGAACACCAAACACCCGCCGGTCCCGGTAGTCGGGCACGCGGAACTTGCGCATGAACTTGGGGATGTCCCAGTTCCAGTTGGAGGACTTGGACGGACAGTGACGCTCCATGGTCGCCGTAATCCTGAAATTGACGAGGATGTGATGTTAGTGATGAGTATGGCGGTGATGTAAAGATGACGTGAGCCAGTGATGGCTTGGGGATGACGTGAGCTTACATGATCAGAAATACACTAGCTTTGCGAGAAAATTTCCTCTCCTTACTAACATTTTAACGTTTTCACCTCACACCGTTCAAACGTCTCTATCCAAGTTTCTCCGACTCCCACTATTTTCCTCACGGCCGGCACGGCTGCGACAATGAATACCAAGAACCCGCGGCTGCGACCATCACTCATGCTTTAGTCGCGGTTTGATCTCCGTCCGCCGCACACGGCGAGCCCGCAGCGCCCGCACCGCCGCGGCCGCCCCCGCCGTGCAATCTCGCCGGTGATTTCTGGCTAAGCCACGTGACGGGGGCCCACACGGTTTCTCTGGGGACGCCGGCGACGGATGTACCGCAGCCGGCGCTCGGCACGGCGAATCACTAATGAAACACGGCGCCCGCAGCTGGCGGAGGAGCTAACGAAAACTGACGGCTTGGTGTCGGAGGACGGGACAGATTTGGATATTCGAGAGCGGGATCTCCTGGGAGAGAGCTGTAGTGACAGTGAGCTGGGACGGGCGTGTCAGGGGAGAGGAGAGAGGAAAGGTGACATATGTGAGCCACCGCGAGTGTCAGCAAGAACAGACAGCCTTGGAGTAATGGAGGCGTGTCGGTGGTAAAAACGACAGGAACGGGACAAAGCTCCAGAGAGCGTGGAGAGCCATCTGACTTCAGCACGGCTTGCTAATGTAATTCACCGCAATATGACCAGAATGATAGTAGCATAGTGCAAATGAAAGGAAATGATCACTGCAACGTTGCTGGATTATATCCCATGTGAGCATGAACTCAGCTAAGAATACCACACATCGTTTAAGCTAAAATGTAAATAAGGCATTGAGGTTGGATCATCCGACAAAATGCATCCATTATCAAACCATCTTGAAGAACGTTCTCAGAAGCTAAACCCACTGGGGTTTACCGTTCCCCGTACCGCCCACCTAAGACACCAGAGGGAAAACTACTCAAGATATCCACCGAACAAATCATCTCCGCCTGGCGTCTAATAATACCTACGTTCCAGTTCCCCAAACAGAACTCGCTCGCTGCCTGTCGCGCCGCCGGCGGTCGGAGGCTCACCTGAGGAGGGCGTGTTTCTTCAGCAGGGCGATCTGCCCGGAGGACAGCCGGGAGATGTGAGTGGGACAGATGGGGGCCGGCGCCGGCCGCGTGGTCAGCACGCCGCTGCCGCTCCGGTGAAAACTGTGCCAGCGCACCACGTTTGTGCTGGGGAAGGGAGAGAAAGGCGGGTCAGAAACCGTCGCTGAACGTCAGAGTTGTTAGGAGACTGAATATGTTGAACAGTTGAACACGGAATACACCAATCGAGCTTCCGAAAAGTTAGGCAGGAGCCCATCGAAATACGACTTGCGGGTCTGTTGTGCACCTTTGAAACGAAATTTTACGAAACAACACAATATCCAGCAGAAACGTACAGTAGCGGCGGAACACCTTCAATAAGGGGGGAGGGGGCACTGCCGACTTTTGGACCCATTCTTTCCATGCAACGTCCATAGGGCTAATGTTACAATGCCAAAATCAAAGGGGGGCACGGTGCCCCGGTGCCCTCCCCGTTCCGCCGCCTATGGAAACGTATGTACGGTGACTGGAGCAGCAGCGGCTAGCTCCAGCTACATCTACAAACACGTAAAGAAAGCGCCCCTTCACACCGCCGTCCACCACTGTACAGATGTCGCTGCGGTCGGCTCACCTGCGCGGCTTCTGTTCCTGGTCCGAGCCGGCGGTGGATGGCAGCGATCCCTCGGAGCTGTGGCTCACACTGGTATCACAGCTGCCCGATCGGCCGCGCGGCTCCACCGCCTGGATCTGCGGACTGGAGTTGGCGCGGGCGTCGCGCACGCCCGGGCTGGGAGGCGTACCCGGAGCGTCGTCATCGACATAGACCCGATTGTAGACGACGATCGGCGTGTTGTCGTAGGTGCTGACCCGGTGCCGGTCGGGCGTCTGAGGCGGGGGACACTGCGGAGGCAGGGGCCGCTCCATTGACTCCTTGCGCTTCAGTTTACCTGCCGGGGAATAACGACACGTCAGCGGGCGTGACATGGCATCATGGAGATAGGGGCGACACGTCAGAGGCGGTGGCAGTGTTGACATAGGACCGGTTTGGTGACCAGTCATAGTGATGGTTGAGATTAGGGGCGACGTGTATTGTCATCAACCGCAGACTGACCGACTGGCACGGGTGAGCAATACCGTGATTAATGACTCTACCGAGAAAAATCATTTCACGAAGCTTCTCAATTATCTCAACACCTGACCAAACGAGAAAACCACCCAAACTTACTCTGCAGCTTCCTGCGGTAGCCCTGGCTCTCTTTGCCCATATTCAGACTGCTGGACCTCCATCCAGCTCCGTGTGACGATCCGACCCTCAGACTTCCACCTCTGTGTCGACTCAGCTTGGGCGAGCTCGTCTGCAGAAAGTCCACGGTGTCCGAGCCGTCGCACACGTTACTGTTGGCGTCTTTGGCCGGTTTCCCGGGCGTGGCGAGCGCTCGGAACAGCGGCGGCGAGTGCTCGCCGTCCGAGAGGGCGCCGCTGTCGTCCCGGGCCGGCCGCGCCGTCCGCGGCGATCCGCTCGCGTCCGACGCAGAGAAATACGACGACGAGTCGTCGCGCGGCGCCTTCTGAGCGCGTTTCCTGCGCGCGCGGAGGCTCTCCATGCGGCGCAGGATGCCGTCCTGGAGCCGCTCCCGGCCGCTGCGCCGCTCCGGCACCGTGCCGCCGACGCTAGAGTCCGAGTTGAGTGTGCTGTTGGAGCTGGCGCTGGGCGGACTGGCGGCGGCCGGCGCCGGCGGCACTGCCTGGTGACGCCGCCAGCGCTGCGAGTGGCGCAGGTACGACCAATTCTCACTGATGGCGCGCGACTCATCGTCGTCACTCTCCTCACCCTGAAACGGACAGAGGGTGGCCGGTTAGGTCATGTGCCTCAGCCTGAGTGAGGCTGGGAAGCGAGGAAAGTGAATAGATTAACTGATGAGATCGAGACATATCACATATGAGGGATGAATTCAAGGATAGCCGTGAATTAATGTGACAATGAGATTCGGTTTCAATTAATTAATCTGGTTAATCAGAGCTACATAACTCAAGGAAAATGAGCATCAAGAGTGAAAGGAACAAAAGAATAAGCCGGAGTGAGACGGTGAAAACTGAAAGCGGTGGGTGACCCCTGACAAAAGTCACTCTGAGGTTCCTGAATGGAAAACTAACACAAAGGGATTAACAGGTGAAGCCATGGACACTAGACAGACAGTGAACGGTTACTTTTCCACTGCAGTGAGACAGGCGATAACGAACAGCTGCCGGGTACTGGCCTGGCGAAAGCCGTCGCTCAGCCGCAGCCCTGCACCACTATGACGCATCAAAGTCGGTCTCCGCGCCGAGAAAAAAAGACCTAGCGACGGGTTTATGTCCAGAAGACAGCTTTCATCATAAATCCAGAAAAAGCGTTGATGAAAGCTAATGAATCACAATTCCTGAGAGCCTGTCCACTTGGCTGAAGTATTTTGACTCATAACCGGCCGTATAACGCACGCATTTTCTCCGTAATTATACCCACGCAGCGGCGCAACGCCAGACTTATCTGGCAATTAGCTTCACAATTGAGATAATGTTATAAAACAGCCGTCAGCGTCTTTCAGCCCGCTTATCACGGAACAATCGTGCCAGACGGCGCAAGAAGTCGGCAAGACCTGGGAACAGCCAGTCACGCCAGGCAATTTTCACTGGCGCAAATCGGTCGGACAGCCTTGCCGCGCGGTGCCGCTCGGGATATCGAACAAAACAGGCCACTATACCTGGCGTGTGACCGGCCCTGCACGAGACAGCCGCTAGCGCTAACGCGAGCGGGTAGAGCACGAGGTCACCGTGCAGCGGCGCCGCTCTGCCTCGAATTACTGGGGCGGAGCGGCGTGCCGTGGCGCGTGGTTCCGGGCCCCGCGGCAGTCTCCACAGTGGCGGCCGAACAATGGCCGCTATGGTGCTGCACTGTGTGGCACAGGCCGGCTGCAGCTCCCGGCCGTGGCGGCATCCCATCGGCCGGACTGCGGCTTCCGGCCGCCGCAGTCACATGTAAATGGAGCAGCTTCGCTTTATAGTCAGACCATGAGAGTGCGCGGACACGCGACCACCTTCCGTCCCCCGCTGTGTCCGTCGCTGTCGGCGGCTCAGGATGTGAGGGGACACGGGATCCGTCCCCGCTGAATAAGACGCTGACGAGGCAGTGTCGTCCGCCCATTGAGGTCCGGCCGGTCCCGTGTCGGCCAGGTGACAATACCGTGACACCGGTAACACTCGGTGTGGGTACAGCCGCACCTGGCGACCATTCAGGAAAACAGCCGCTGAGGACAGGACAGGCGGCACGCGACCCTCCCTCCCCTCCTCCGCTCTGCACTTGAGCCGATTAGCTGTGTCGGGGCCACTCCAGGACCCTCCAGCAGCGGAGGACGGCACTCGGCGAGGGTCGCTGCTCGCTGTCCACTGTACGGCACCGAGGCGACTCGCTCGATTGGAGAGCCATTCAGGGACTAATATAGCGCGGTCTGGCATTGAGACGGATCGCCCTGGGAACGAGCGAGCTCCCGGCGCCCACCCACAGCGCGCGACAAAACGAACACCGCTCTGCTCGCGCCCAACACGGATAAAGGCGGATCTACGAGTGTAGGACAGGCAGTTTCTCCTCAGATCCAGTTAGCGATCACATCTGGACACGGTTTTCGCCAGTCTGAAAGCGTAACGACCAATGACTGCTCGCGCCTAATGAGTTAATTTTTGCAAGCGGCCCCATTGTCAGAAGTGGTTATCACTGACAGTGAAGTGTTGCAGAACGAACGAGCAGTGAATGCTCATTGGCAATCAATTGGTCAACCGGAGACCTGCAGTGCAGAGCGAGAGGCGGAGGCGGCAGTTGCGCCGGCACCGGTCCGGTGACGGTAACAGCCCGTCCTCGGCGCGTTCCTGGTATTCCAGCGCGGGCCTGAAATCCGATGACACACCGCTCCATATGCGGAGCTCGGGTGCTGATATGACTCAGCCGCCACTTTACCTCCAGTTGTCCAGCTGAGCCACAAACACGATCGACGTGGAGCCGCTCGGAAACCATCAGTTGCCGATCGGCACGCTACATCACAGCACAGGTGGAGTTTGGAGCTGAGCTCATCCGGCGCCCAGCACCAGTGACTCAGGGCTCGCTGATCGCTGCGATGGGCAGCGCCACATGTTGTAACGCACCGGTAATGCAGGCTCCTCCCCTTCGATATTCAAATAGCCTCCGATGACATCATACCGATCCTCCGATACTCCGAGCGGTCACTCCGTCCGTCCGCAGCTGTCTCTGCCGACCGGTTCATCTCAGTCGTCCGTCCGTCTCTGCAGCTTCTTCCGTCTCCGTTTTTTTTTTTTTACTGCTGACATATCTGACATTCCGGGATTCGACTCGGACAGAAGCTTGTCGTAAATGTCACTTACCACCGAGATGTCCGTACCGCCGGCGGCCCAGCAACAGCTTCAAACTCTCTGTGAATTAGCCGCCAGAGACCGCCCAGGCCGGGCGGTGAGCGGATCCGCTCGGCCATCACAGCCGCCGCCGGAGCCCGCGGAGTCTCATCCTCGGGCTGACTCAGCCCCGGTCCCGGCTGACCCGCCCGTGCCCATCCGGTAACACCTACTATGGATACTATGACCGACCGCCGGTCTCACAGTGCCCCGCCCCTCCCCGTCCCTCCCCGCCCGACTGGTTCCTCTGAAGGCGAGTTGCCGCCCTGCCGTGACCGCTCATAGCCGAGCTGAGCTACGAGGGCGGCGCGGCGGCGCGTTTCAAAGCGCAGCGAGCGCTCGGCGCGCACGCACACACGCACACGCGTCGGATCGCGATCTCCACTTGCGATTTTCGCAAGCTGATCAGTTGGAGATTAGCTGCACAGAAAGGAAACTGCTGAAACGTTCTCCGCCTAGTCCTCGCAGCGGGGAAGCCAATCAGCTTCAATTTCTTTGCAGTCAGACGCGTAGGGAGATCCGTTTGGCGCCCCGCAGGCCTCAAACGCAGGGTCTGGACGGGCGCTGGGGGCTCCGGACCCTCCCAGAGAGCGCTGAGGCAGAGGTTTCAGGGAGGGGCCTCACAGCTTCCTCCGTGGCTCGGTTGACGACCTTGTGGTCATTCGAGCCCGCCTGATCGGGTGGGATAGGTCGAAGTCGAGTTGTATCGAGTCTGAGGCGCATCGGGAGGCTGAATCACACCCAGATCGGGTGGTGATTCTCGGCAGAGGGGCTGATATTCCAGGCAGCCGTCCGAGACGGGCGCCGTGACCGAGCGGCGGCGGGCGTCAGAGAGTCCACGGGGCCACCCCACGACGTCCAGTCACCGTCAGAGTCGGACAGTTGCTGATCCGCGGCAGATCTGACCATCAGTCGCCGCTGAGCTGATATCAGCCACCGCTGCGTCGATCACTGACCCCATCTGACCAGCAGTGAAAGCATGCAGTCGGCACTGCTGAATTCGCAAACATGCCGAATGATTTCACAGATCAGAAACGCAGACTCAACAGAATCAAACGCATCAGTAGCAACAAAGGCCGACCGGGTTACTCGTCAGCCCAAAAGCTAAAACGATCCACGACTGTCCGCCAGAATCAATACCTTCGCCGAAGCCCGTCGACTGACCGGCTGGCTCTGTCCATCGGGCATCGCTCTCTTTCCAGGAAGATTTACGACTGTTGGGCCCCTGTCAATCACGGCGGATCTGGCGGGCCGCAGGGCAGGGTCCACCGGCCGCCCTCCGCCCGAGTAAACATCTCATCACCGTGCGTCGGAGACGGCGCAAACAGAGCTGTGAGGGAGTGCTGTGCCGTCCAGCCGTACCGACACACCATTCGTCTTTCAACTGTCAACGACCGTAGGTGTCAGTCGGACCGACAGTTACAGACGGTCGGCTCGACAGTTAGAGACGATCAGCGACGCTCAGCGAGCATCACGGGACCAGCCCGTTACCCTTGCATCAGAGGGAGGCGAACCGTAATGAACGAAGGGAGAACGGTGCGAGGGATAAACAAAACGGAGTGGAAGGAGGGATGTGCCATCAGCTGTCAACGTCAGACACACCCACCAAAGGTTGGTGATGAACTGTGGCGACTATGTGACCGGTCATGACCTGTCACAGCCTCCTCTGACCTGCAGTGACCTCAGTGACCTATCGTGACGACGGCGGTGGCAATCAGTTTATCCTGGCGACATATCTCACCCACGCGTGAGCTCTAATGAAATTAATTCCACCCGCCTGCGTGAAATCTCACGAGAGTTCACGGTTGACCTCGGGTCGGCTGTCACCTCCACACGTCACCCTGACCACAAGTTATTCCAGTCATCCACACCTGAGTAGTGAATAAAACTAAGCAAACATCCCACTCACCACGCGTCGGACGACTCCCTCCAGCTTCATATTGGTGGCCCTGTTCACTGTGTTGATCCTCTTGAAGAGCGCATGCCGACTGTCCAGATCCAGCGAGGGGTGGTCGCTCTGCACCGAGCGCAGGTCTATCGGGCAGCGGCACTCTGAAACGAACGGCGCGCGTCGGTCAGCCCCGCCCGCCGTGTCCACAGCTCATACACATGCGTACACATACACGGGAACGGGAACCACGGGCACACACCGTCCGCTCGTGCGTACGTGCGTGTGACCGTCCTACATAGTCGGGCGGCGCCGGGCTGGATTCCTCACATCATCCTGGTCACACAGAGGAGGTACTGTGCGCGGCAAACAGAGCCGCGCCGCCGCCGTGGCGAGCGGCGGGTTCCGGTCGGAGTAGGAGGGGAAACTCGCCGGAGCCCGGGGAGGAACGTCGTGTCGCACTAGCCACATCGCGTCGAACTAGCGTGCCTCTATAGATATCATCGACGACAATCCTGCAGTATCTCTTGGCTCTGCTTCAGTCTATCCTGTCTCTTTATTACCCTCCCCTCCTTGCGTCAGCTCTTCAGCTCGTCATGCGCCGGTGACCCGACCTTTGGTGACCTCTGCAGCGGCGCCGGGGACCAAATAAGGCGTCCGGCCGGGCGCTGAGCCGCCACTGCCGCCGCCGCCGGCCAGCTATGAGTCAGGGCTAATGACGGGCTTGGAGACGGGCGGACAAAGGGGGCGTGACGGTCCGCCCGCATAGCCGCCCACCGGACCTGTCACCGCCACCGGCGCCCGAGAAAGGGTGACGGAGGGCAGCGGGGAAGTGGGACAAATGGAGAGGACTGAATTCGTGATGCCTTTTAACTCTTACGCCACAGGGCTGGTCTATAATATAAGCACATAAAACCGCAAGGAATGCTTACATCGTGTAGGTACTGTATATCCACGTAAACAAAACTGACCCGATATTAAACGTTTTTCGGAGGTCCCGAGTGACCGAAATCGACAAGCAAATGCCTCATATAAAATAAACTTTCCGTAACGGCTGGAGTTCAACGTCCGCTCCAAATTCAGTAGCTCTAAGATATACAAAAGCGAAGGCCACCGTTTGAAATAGCCAATAGCCGGGCAGAACATCGGAGGCGGATTATATTACCGTGTCCCCTCTCACTGACCCCAAACTGTGGCCGGCACACAACGAGGGCAAACATAGGACCACATGAAACCCATTAGGAGGTGGTATTCCGGTTACCGACCCCGCACAGACAGGCCATCAATCACGGAAAGTTCTGTCGAACCCTCAGCGAGGAGCCGTCACTTCCGACGCGGCTGTTTCGCCAGCACCCAGCTGGAGGTGTAACTGGACACCGCGTCAGCGTCCTGTTTACATAATATTCCCGTGACGACAGCAGCAGGCCTAACCGTCCAGACGTCCGTCCGCGGGGTCTATCCAGCCGGAGTGGCACCAGCATCCAGCGCAAAACTGGACCGGCCTCAGTTAGAGCACCCAGCTGTGCACAGTTCGACGAAGAGACAGCGGCTCTTCTCTGTCCGTTCTACTTCGTCCAGGACCGCGATAAACATATACGGTCAGATAAACACCGTGCTCATCTGTGCTCTCCGAAAGGAGACCGCCTGCTCCGAGGGCTCATCGGCGCGCCTTTGAAGTACCGACCGGCCCTGTTCCACGACTCGTTAGGACGAATTAGCTCGGCTGGAGCCGCCCGCAAATCAAACACTGCGCGGCGCTCCCGGTTCCCTCTGACGTCACAAGTATTGACATAGGTGTGAGAGTGCGAGTGTGACGTCACAGAGATATAGGCAGGGTGCGGCGGGGTGTCCGGTCGAGGCCGTACCAGCGCGCACCACGTGGGTGGCGGCGGCGGCGCGCTGGGGTTTGAAGTAGCCCGGTTTCTTCCAGTCCGCCAATTTTGCTACTGTCACAACTCAGAGTCACGAAGGAGGGCGACTAGTGAATGAGTGGCTTTCAGCGCGAAGTCGGGCGGCCGAGGCCGAACACGAGCACGCGCGGTCAGTTCGTGATGCGCGAGTCCAATCCGTGACTGTGGAGAGGCGTCCAACCGTGACCGCTGAGAGCACCGTGACCGGGAGTCCGGGCCGCGTCCGGCCGTGACCGGTCCGAGACCACGTGTCCGAGCTGTGTCCGCATGTGTCCGCGTTCAGCGACGGCACCATCTGCCCCGCCGCGGGCGCCCGCGGTGTGCGGCGCGTCCCCCACGCGGCGCGGACACGGTCTGTTCCCACGTCACAGTTTGTACCGACCGAGGCCGGCCGGCCCTGAGAAAGTGCACGGGCCGATTCAGCAGGAGGATTCTGCACAGCGTAGGTTGACACGTACTATGCACACACGGCGCTGGGTGATGAGATTACTGACGACCGGTCATCAGCTAGCACCTTGCTCAGACCGGGTCCACAGAGCGCGGGGAGGGCAGCTTACCATCTCACTGACCCAGCAGCAGAGACAGCGAGCCGACCCAGCTAACGCCTCAGTCGACACCGCAAGGTCACGCCAAATTGAACAGGCCGACATGCAAATTACAATGGCTGCGCGCAACTGGTCTGTCGCCGTAACGACTACATTGAACGCGACGGCAGTCCTGAAGAACAAGAGTCGGCAGACACGGTTGGTCCATCAGACAGCAGTTACGCAAATGGGAATTAAACGCCGCCACTGAACACGAGTCATGGCCTTGGGGCGTCGCGCCGGGGGTCGGGAGCGTGCGAATGAGGTCCGCGGGAGCCGCGCCGCTCTGTGTGCGCGTGCGTCTGTGTGCTGAAGGTGCACGTCATCTGGCAGATTCTGCGGCCGGGAGCGCTCTGACAGCTGACAGGAGGCAGCAGCTGCTCGGTGCTCTCACACAGAGGCGCCGCGCACGGACCGGCGGGCGGCGTCAGAACTGGGCCGATCTGCTGGCCGATCTAAGGAGGCAGCGCCGGCCGTAAGCAGCTGGAATGTCCACCGGCCACCATCGATCACAGAGGGGACGGTGCCGGTGGTGACACGGCGCAGCGGGGCGGCGACCATCTCAGGAGCATCGCCCCCGTAATGGCGGGGAGGGACCGAGGCGGACCCCAGGCACGTTACGAGTTTTCGAGCAGAGGTGCGAACGGCGAGATGAGTGCCCATATCAGCCAGAAACACAAAAGGTCTGGAGATTAAATTTCCGGTAACAAATTCCGTCACCGAGTCGCAAAACGTGAGCAGGTTCAGTTAGGAAGCAAGAGAAGAGAAGAAATAAGAGAACAAACTAAAAAACGAACAAGAGAAGAAACTGACACCAGTAAAAAGAGGAAACTTTAGAGATGCAAGTGGATAACGCAAAAAAAAACACAAATACCAGCATCCATTCAAGGCGATTAAAGTCAAAATGTGCCGCAGTCGTAGCAGTGAACACAACAAACAGAAAGTGCATCAAATCACCACAAAGAGTGCCAAGCCATGCCCAGATAGAGAAGGCCCACCACCTCACCAAGAGCCGCCAGAAGAGAGGGCGGTGCGTCCAGTCTGCGCACGGGCACACCGAGTCCGGGCAGGCAGAGCTCCACGTCCCCATTGGCCGGGGACCAGCGGGTGGGGCCGCACCACAGGCCCATGGTGTCGTCCGACCCACACACCTCGCGTCTCCGCCGCACGGCCGCGCCTGTCTCCACAGCCACTGCGCGCCGCGTCTGACGGTGTCACTGTCCGCCGCCCAGAGCACCACGTCTCGCGTCCGCCCGCCGCGCCGGCCGCGTCTCCACTGCCGAGCGGGCCGGGCCGAGCGGGCGCCCGAGCGCGAGCCGCCGCCGCAGCCGGCCGGACTTCGGTCCCCGGCGGCTCAAACGATAGACTCGAAGGTCGGCGCGGGGGGCCGCTCTCGATCCGCAACCACCAACGTCGTGTCAGCAGGATCGGGACCTGTGACATGAGCCAGGTGACCCGTCGCTCGCCCCCCACGGCGACGCACACTGTCCGGGAGAGCCGCACCGGCCGCCGTTTTCAGACAGGCTGGCGGGAAACTGTCATGTTCTACGCTCAGCCGGCGGGGGAGTCTTGTGGTTGGCAGCTGACCCAAAGTAAACACGTTAATCCAGGGCGGCTTGCTCGGCACCGCGGCGATGATGGAGCGGAGATAAACAGCTGCCGTCACAGTGCCAGCACAGTCACCGGGGGCGAATTGACCGGGACCGGGACCCCGAGGGCAGCTGGAGCCTTCCCGCGTCTCCGCCACGCGCTGAGGCGCTCAGCCCTGCGTGCGCTCCGCCCTCCCCTCCAAGCTGCAGCTTCAGTGCGCCAAGGAGCACGAACAGTACAGCGTTACGGCGCTCCAAACGGGCCGGAAGGACCTCTGAAATGGTCCCGAAACGGCCGCTAAAACGGGCCTGAAAACAGCTCCCCGTCGGTCCGCGCCTGCCGACGGCCGGTGTCGCGCACGGCGCCGCGACTTACCGGGTCGAGTTTCCTTGGTAACGGTGCGGCGGCGTGCCCCGCCCTGCACGCCGCGCTGGCCGGCGAAGCCACGCGCGCGGGACGTGCTGGCACGCCCCGGGCGCTGAATCAGCCCGCGCCGAAGGCACCCTAGTTTGTACCGCCGCCGGCTATGCGCGCGGCCGTAACGGTCGACCCGGCGGCGGCAGAGCGGTTCGAATTCGCGAGCTCCCGGGACGCCCACCGCGGTGCACTAGATTCTGATAGGCGCCGACCGCTGCACGTCAGTACGAGTGTCAATAGGTGACGTTCGTCCGGTGCAACGGTCAACATCGCACGTGAGTGCGGAGTTTACGTCCGACAGTTGGTCGTGCTGAGAGCAACTGTCGAGAGGAGTTTGTGAATTGACCTCAATAGCAACCGTGCTAACAAATGTCAAGTACTTGCATTGATAAAATAGCCTAGCATAAATTGTAAAGCTGTTGAAAAGAATACCGTAACAGCAAATGTCATGAGATTCGACGATGGATTTGTAGGAATTTACTGCTCATCGCGATACCCAGTACAGACCGAACCGTTTAACCAACCCGCTACGGTCCGCCACCTTCGAAGGTGATGCAACGCGAATCGCTGTCCCGTTTGTTTGACAATGTAGCGAGTGATAGTCCGCCTTGTAAACATTTGCCATATGCAACAGGACACAGGGACGGGGGAGGCGTGGGGGAGTGTCGGACTCGGCTGTAGCTGATGCAAACGGAAACGATTCGTCGGCGGTACAGAAGAAAGCAGTCTCGTGGGCGACAGAATAATTGGGAGTGAAGCTGAGGGCGGGCCATACGGGCTTGTCTGCTAAGTTTTCAGCAGCAATGCTGCAGCGGGTTTCCCCTTCCGCGAATGGGAGGAGGAAAGCGAGCTGATCCCATTTTATTGCCGAGAGTGAAAAAGGAGAGTTTTCAGCATTGACATGCGTATGCTTATCGGGAAAATAGTTGCTCACCTTCAGACAAACCCAGTAATTGAGCGGTTACTAATGAACGAAAGAAGTCGTATGTAGGTCGGTTGAAGATTCCTTTACACCGTACACTCATTTTAACGCCCTACAGTCATAAACAACGGTGCAATGTCCAGTGCAATGTCCAGGTGAGCACGTTCCACGCGCCACGCTTGTCTCACGTGCGCACCATGTGTCCGCGCGCCGTGCACAGTGCACACACAATGCACACAACTGATGTTTGATCATTACGGTCGAACACGAGCCCTCGGCGTGCTGCCATCACGCCTGTAAGGTCGAGCCGATCAGTGAACGCCATCGGCAAACATTGGCATAAGATAGGGCCACGGCTATACCACCCAAATGTCAAGGCCGATTACCGCTGACCTATCATGGGACAAAGCAAACGAGCGTGGCTTGATATAGCTCATGAGCGCACGACGGTCAAAAGTCGCTGGTCGAAATTAGGGCACATAATCCACGTCCGGCGTAACTCGAGTCCAGAGCACACACCCAAACAAACACCGGCGCTTACGGTGTATCTCCCGTCTGACACACAAGTATCGTATTCTTTCGTCTGGCCTGGGTTCGAATCTCGGCACGGCTAGATCTAGTCAGATTCGGCTCAGTCCCCCGACCGCGGCTGTCACCGGCGCGGGACATCCGAGCTCTCGCCCGTCCGGCGCCTCGTTCCTCGGCGTGTGTTACGCCCTCCGATGGCTCGGATACTGTCCGCGAGGTCACCTGTTGACCTTGGCTCTGACACCCGTTCACTGGGAGAGGGGTAGACCGCAGCGGGCTACACCCCGAGCTAATACCGGCGGACGACCGACCGTCGCCCCTCCCCCGAACCAGGAACAGCTCATAGCTCACAGGAAGTGGGGCATATATGATCACTTCCCCTACACGCTGTGATTGTAGCGCGAGCAACGTGATAGTGACGCACTGTTCTTTATGCATCCACTCTCGTGTGTCTCACATGTGCCATCCTGTAGCTCCTATCTCATTAGTCACTCAGAACTTCTGAAAAAGTTCAGCCAGCCGCGGAAACGAGCCCTCTACAAAGACAGACCGACGGGGGTCGGACAGGATGCACGAGTACACGCACACCCCGGAGCAGCGACCCGTGGCGGCGGGCCGACGTCTGTCACAGGACGACCCACCGCGGCGGTATAGTTCGACCACAATAGAGCTCCGGATGTGGCGCGGCCTTCCGGAGAGGCCTCTCACACCACGACCCGCCACCGACTGACCACTCGTGACCCACGCGTGACCTTCGGCACCGGGGGCAGACCACCCCGCCTCTTCTGACACGAGAAAAACTCTGACCGCAGACGATAGCGGCGGTCAGAGGTGCTGTATCACCCCGCGCCATCCCGATACTGTTCGCCCAGTGTTCGCCTTCTGTTGGCTTCCAGCCGGCTATTCTCCGAGAGTAGAATCGGACGGTTTTACGGCGTTTTTTACGACCTGCTGAGCTGCTTTTGGTCGCCTGTGAGTGCCGACCGCGTCTCGCCGTGGCTCGTCCAGGCCCCGTGCCGTGGATTGCGCCAAAGAGCGTCTGAGTCGTTCTCACACACAGAACAGAGGTTGTGAACTTGCCGAGCTCAGTCTTCCATCCGTTCGTGTGTCACCGCCTGTCCCCACAATGCAGCGTAAGACTCGTGCAGCCCGCGTGCTCTCTGCAGCCTGGAGCCCTGCCTCGTGTCGCGGTGCGTGCTTTTTGTTCGAGGTCTCTGGTCCATTCTATGTGCACTCTGAACTCCGACAACCAGCTCCAGTTCTGTGTGCGGCACTCTGCGGCCGCTCTGTATTCGGGCGCGCGCTGTTTTGTGCTCAGCATTCCGTGTTCTGTTTGTGCCGCCGAGCTTTTCTCTGCTCTGGAGCGAGTGGTCGTCTGAACATCGTCCGCCGTCACAGACAGCACAATGCCTCCTCAGCGGGTCGCGTGCGGCGCGGCGGCGGCATCAAGGAACACGCTCCAGGGGTCACCTCTCGTGCCCCCGCCACGGACTTTTCCCTGCCCTCCAAAAAATACTCATGAACAGTCGAAGAGTTACATCAGCTATATACTCTGCTCCCCCACTCCTCCCAGACGCCGTATTCCAGGTAAATCGTCCTCGCCTCGCCTTCAGACTCGTCAAACCTTCCTGAGGGCAAACGCCGAACACAAGTGTTGGGAGATATGATCACCAGACGCCAACGAAGGCCGCAGAGCGCCGAAGGACCAGGGTGTGTCTGTGCGCCGTTCGACTCTGTCGGAGCACTCAGGGAGCTGAGAGCCACTGAGCGGTGATCCCGAGGCCGTCTGTGACGCAGCCCAGGCTCGTTAGTAGTCTGGGGAAGCGAGCTGACGGCTCAGTAGCTCGCTCATACGTCACAAGAGCGCTAAGTGGTCAGGGGTGAACGGGAGGGCACGGTGAGTCCCCTTCAGGGGACCGCTGCTCAGTCATCAGGAGCCGAGTTTCCCTCCCTAGCGAGACTGGTGTTTCAGGACCGCACGGGATGGGGGATGCGTTGACCCAGCTGTCTCTATGACAGAAGCTGACGGATGGCGGCACAAATGGACCGAAATCAGTGACAGGGGAGAGGTGGCGGCGAGGCAGCAGGGGTAGGGGTGGATATGAAGGGGAGGAAGGGCTGGGATGGGACCAGGGCGAGCCAAGAGATGAAGGGTTATGTAGTATGCCAATGGGAAGGGGAGGGAACCCACCGGCCACCATGTAGCTGCGCAGGGAAGGGGAGAAACCCACCCTGGGCTCCCTACCCGAGCCGGTTGTGAATGTCTGGGAATGTGTGTCCCCTTTCTCACAACCCCACCACCCGATCAGTAACCATCGGTCGCCGACCCTTCGCCATTGATGAACGCGCCAGACACGCCGACGGTTTTTTGTCGGCGTTAAAAACTGGCCATACATTCAGCGCTTTGGAGTCGACTATACGGCTGGTGCCAACGGGGCCCCTAGTTCCGCAACCGGCCCGCGCCCACCGTAATCTGTCACGGTAGTCTGTTCCATAATCCCTCGAGATAGTGCACGTAATCTCAGTCGATATGGCAATAAGCCGAACAAATGCGGCAATACCACTCATGTTCGGCACATAAGTCGAAGCTCGCTCGTGCTAGGTAAGCGCGTTATTCCGTCTCCGGTCGAGTGAGAGAAGCTTTACGCCGGCCTCCCGAGAAAATGGCGACGTCTTACAGCCGCACTCTAACTGCTGGGGGCTGGTCGCTGATCCCAAGACTGAAGGTCGCCAGGACGATGCCGCCCCGTCCCCGCCCGGGCGCCGGACGCCCCCGCACAGCCGCTGCCCAACGCTGTCCATCGCCGACCGTTGCAATCACAGACAGCTTCAGCGAATCCCAGACCGTCATACACCGCGAGAAATGCCCCATCCCCTGCTCTCCACGGTTCTTCATTCGCATCTTCGTATCTCCTCTCCCGCCTTCGTCATCGCTGTTCCGCCGTCTCCGTCGCCAACAGACATAAACACGAGGCGTCGCCGTTACATCAGACACCTCCGCTCGGCGCCGCACAACGGTCGCGTCACTCCTGTCCTCACCTCGCCGGGTCCGCCTCCTCTGCGCCGCATCAGTCGCAGCCGCGCTGCAATTGCATCTACGGCGCGTGGCTGTTGACGACTACAAAGGCGACGCGGCGGCGGCGGCGGATTATGGTGCGACCGATGGCGGGGAGTGGCGACGTTTTTCTCCGCGCTGGCCAAGGGTCGAGGGTTGGGTGCGCCCGAGGAATCTCGGATGGTTATCGGTTGCCGCACTGTCCTTGCCCTTAACATTCGGACCACCCAGGCCCGGTGCACTTTGTCTGCTCGCCAGTGGCCTGGTTGGTCAGAGATCGGAGAGATAGCTTTGCTTTTAGTGGGCTACTCTAGTAAATGTTGACGGTAATAGGTGGTTTGCGGTGAAGAAACGTGAAGTTTGCTGAATCAATTGAAAATAGCGCCGCGCTACTGGGAAAATAAGTTGGCAAGAAATCGCTGCAGTTCAAAGTCAATAATGCCTTAGTGCAATATTGATTTCAAAGAAGATAGTAACGACTCGATGAGAAGATAGCTGACAATAAGTCAGTTGACAATTGAAATACGAGTGTCTCGGCGTCGCATCGATTGTCTACTCACCTTCATACATCTGGGCGTACTGCGGAAAGCCGGCGTCGCGGAGCCAGCGACATGCCTCGAGAGCCTCCCATTCTGCAAACAAACAAACAAAACATCTCCGTCAGTACAAAATCGCACCAAAGTCATCATATCGTTATAAGTAATCGGGCAGTTTTCGGAGTCAGCAGCACAGAATTAGGCAGAGTACCGCGAATGAACAATTGACAGACAGGACAGGTGGGCGCAATGGGGTGCAGTGGAGCGCGGCGAAGGGGGCTAAACTCGGGGGCAAATTGGGTGCATGGTCCCATTTCGAGTGATGTACTCGATGCTCGAACTAATGAACTGATGGTCGAACTAATGACGGTCACACTGATAAATTGGTAGGATAGTGTGGGATTGACTGATTGTCTAGAATATAGTTACATGCAGGGCACAGACTGGTTATGTAAACACTGAGAAAACTCAGAACACTTCCTGAATAGTTTGCAAAAGTTCAGTGAGTCCCCACTCCTCAGCACGACGTCGAAATGGCCTCGAACCCACGGAGTTCGGAGGCAGCATCCGTCCGGGTTTACTCCACTATCTCACAGACTGTCACTCAACCGACTCTCGAGTCACTCCATCATACCGCCTTAGCCTGACACGGAACCAGTGACCCGTCACGCTTCACTAAACCCGCAGCACGGCGCATCCGCTCGGTGGTGATACGGCGCTACCTGTCTTGGTCCGACGACCGCGTGCCTCATGATAATTACAGCTCGTGCCGGGCCGTGCTTCGATAACAGTCGCGCTCCAGCGAGTCGTGTGTGACGATGTCGGAGGCAGGTGGGCAGCCCGCCGGCTGGAGGACCAAATAAGCCCAGCTCCGGGTGTCAAAGTGACTGGTCTCGTGCCGTCCTGCATCCCGACCCGTCCGTCCCAGTCAGGCAGCCCGGCTCGCCGTGTTGTGTCCGTCCGGACCAGGTGTCTGTCTGACTGACCGATCTCCCATCACCGGACGCGGCTGACCACATACTAATGACCCGGTCACCGGGGGAGGGACCCACTGGGGCCCACTGGATCCGCCCAAACCGGACCTCATTGGCCAAACCAGAGCGGGCGCACACAGCAGCCACGCCACCGCCGCCGCCGCCGCCCGGTGCCGACGGGACGGCATCCGGTGCGATGCCCCCGGAGTCGCAGCCCACACAAACAGTGGCGCCTGGGTGCCGCCAGCGCGGAGTGGACGACTTCAGGGTCCATCCATCCGTCTGGGCGGTCCAGGTCTGGACAGCCAGAGCCCCATACTGGGTCCGAACAGACAGGAACAGGGAGGGGGGGGGGCACCGGACCGTGACGCTGCGCAGTGCGTGACGCTCTAGTGGCGGCCGTGACGCTCCAGTGACGAGCAGTGACGGTCTGGTGACAGTCAGTGACGGACACATGTGTCTGCCACCGCGGTGCCTCTGATCTCACGCAGGGTAGAGGGGGAGGATGGAGGGGAGAGAGCGAGGGAGGGGGAACGGGACAGAGTGACACACTTGTCTGCGTGCTCCCACGGGAGCGAAGGCCTCCACCCGGAGTTACAGGGAAAAAGAGTATCACTCGCCTGTCAGTACCGTCTCCGTCACACGGATCTCGGGTCGGTGACGCCACTGTGTGACGTGTGACGACCGCCGCATGAGTGTGACGGATGTGTGACGGCCCGTCACGGCTGACATCTCGTCCCGGAGGTGCGCCGGCCGCTGACACCACCTGATCCGCTTCCGTCACCGAAATGTCATACGAGAGCCGTGTTTAGTTAAGGATTGTATTTAACTGTTATCACCATTTATAAGGTGTTTTACTAACACTTCAGCGAATATTACAGCAAGTGGGTCGTCAGAGTAGTAATGAAACGTTTTGAAAATTGATCAAGTATTGGCACATTATGAAATTATGTCGTAATATTGCATGGCTGAGCAAAAGGATTTCGAAAGCTGGAATAGGCTTCAATCACGCGATGGTTATTATCTCCTCAGAAAGCATCCGAATAGCAGTGGCTTATGCGTTCTTGCAACAGCCTCTCATTCCATTCAGCGACTATGCGTTGGTGGAGGCATGGTCCGCAGTTTAACACCGGATGTTGCTTCATGCACAGCTGCTGCCGTGGCGAGTACAACGATCCGTACCACACCACGCTACACTCGGTGGCACGCGCCAGCATATCTTCATATGGCGTGAACGCCCAATGAAGGACAGTCACGAACACGAACCCGGCACGACATGGGAACCATTCGCCTGACGAAACGACGACATCTGGACGACACAGATGATGTCCGCACAACGACGCAAGAAGCTTGCCACCTGCGTCGTGCAAGTCTGACGCAACCTAGATATGCCGGTGGGAGGTCAATCAACTCGAATCCAGGTGGAAGAAAACTTATCACATTTTGACACCCGGATCTGACCTGACCTCACTGACCTGACCTCCCGATGACCTGAACCGTTGACCAGTCTGGCAGCAAGTCACAACGAGCTCTGGCCCCAACACACCCATAACAGAGCCTCACCTCAAGCTTTCCTGTCCATCTAGCCTCGCCACATACCACCGCGTATCTTCTCGCCACAAGATCGTACCAACCAGCGCCACGCCGCGATGGCACGCCGAACTGAATGCAAATCAGCGAGCCTGGCTGCCGCACAGGCTGACATCAGCGCTCCACTCATCATCGGGTGTTTTCCATCGGCCATCTCGCGACCTCCGACCGACCTTGAGCGACAGAGTGCATAAAATCGCGGCATCAAAACAGGCCCGCTGGAAATGGGATAATTAGCCGGATGGGACCGGCGGACAAAAGTCAGCCTTCCCCAGCCGAACCGAATGCCCCTTGTTGTTGTGTTGCGCTCTGCGGAAAACGCCGTGCGGCGGAGTGCGGTGTACAGCGCGTTATTAAGGTGTCACGGGCGTCACGCGAGCAGCTACCTGCAGTTCGGTAGCACGCCGCCACAAGGTCCTCCGCGGTCCAGCGCCTCGCCAGGGACGCCATGCGCAAAAAGCCGACCACAATTACGCCACTCGTGAGCGCGCGCGCGATGTGGCGGTCGGACGTCGGTGCCAGGCCAGAACAAGCGGACCGAGCAAAGGCGAGTGTGAAGCCGCGGTGAGTCGCACTGCGCCGCGGCAGACGCCGGGCGCCGGTATGTCTGCCGCGACCAGACCAGTTCTCGGAGTCGTCTGAATCAGCCGACCGGACCGGCGGGCTTGTTGCACGCCAACCTTGTCGGCCTAGGAGCGGCGGGACGGCGGGGACAGCGGGCCACAGGGGCCGCCACGCCGCGCCGACTATTTGTCAGGCTTAGCCGCGGTGGCTGCTAAGAGCCGGGTGTGTTAGACCGCGGAGGTGGGGCTGCATAAGCAGCTGGGGCTCGGGGCTTACCGGGAATTTTGGCCGCCGCGGATTGGGTCGAGTGTCAGTCACAACAGGGAAAGCCGAGCCTCCGAGAGGAAAATGTGAATGATTGATGAAGATATCCTTTGTCTATTTTGCATCGAACAAGAAGCTCATCTGTTCGATACAAGTGCATATTGCATTTGGAGACGGGGCTATTTAATATTCATAGTTGTTGGCTTGCGGCGTATTTCAGTGCAAGCATCCATCATCGTTAAGAGTCCATTGTTGGTGTTGGTGGCGCAGGGGGCACAACATGCTGAGCGAAGCAGCAATTGGCATGGAAGGCGGCCGGCCTCAGGGAGAGACTGCAACGCAGGCAGCGCCACTAACACCAACTCCAGCGGGCGGGCTGGCAGCGCCAGTCGGGGCACCGCACGCCCCCTCCCCAACCCTTCCCCGGGGGCGGATCCGGGCCACAATGGACACCCTGTTCACACGGCCAGTACGGAAGCGGTGCTACTGTGCGCCGTGCGTGCGGCACGCACCCGAGACCACGCGCGCACGCACACACAACCGAGATCACGCGCGTCCCGGCCCGGACGGGGACAGAGAGCAAAACAGCGATTAGCGCGCCAGTGCCGCGGAGCGCAGCCTTTGTCTCAGGTGCGCCGCCGCCGAGAGTGGGGTAATCGGCCGGTGAAGGGACACGCGAGCAGGGGAAGGCGCGATATGGGGCCTCTGACTGGACCTCGCTGCGGGGCCGGGGTGCATGTAAACAGAACGAAACAGTGAAGGTGACTCGACACGGGGCCACTTTCCTCTGTTCACTATTGTTATGTGTGATTAAGTAGGTTTCTGCAAACGGATAAATCTTGTCGGACATACGCTATCTAGCCAGCAAAATCCATGCATCCTTGCAATTTATGAATCCATTGTACACGTCGGGACAAGAGGAGAAAGGCGAAAGAACGGCGCTTCAGGCGAGTTGAGCGTGACAAAGCGCTTTACAGGTGAATAAAGGATAAGAGAATAACGCCAGGTATTCAAATGAAACATGACAGCTGGTGTACCGACAGTGCCCGCTTGCAATGCAATTCACGAAATCATAAATCGCTAAGCCTTGCAGAAAGAATCGTTGGGCAAAAAAGAAAGCTAACGCGAAGTCGGCACTTTGAAGAAATTCATACAAAAAAAGCACAGCTGCAACCACGAGGAATCTCAACCAAACCTTTATCAAAACCGAGAACGCTGCCAACATGCATCAGCCAGAGAACAGGCTATGGAACCGACTTGCCGACACCCCCGACCGAGTTGTTCTCATGCAAGATCGGTCAAGGGTCAAGATCGAGTTGCCGTGCGTAAAGTCCGCTATGTTCGAGCTCGGGCGGCGGCTGCAGAGTAGACGGATCGACAGTGGCCATTGTTTCAGCTGCAGCGGGCTGCACTGTCTGCACGTGTCCGGCGTGGGCTCGGGTGTCTGCGGCGCCGGGCGGCGTGGGCAGGTCCGGATATCGACACGGCCTGACGGGATGGTACCACCCGCCCACAGATCCGAGCAAATGATATCGATATTTCAAAATCCCCAAATGTCATCCACAAATTTACGACGCTAAACGGACATACAATAATCTATTAGATAGGAAGTCCGGACGTCATTCTAATCTTATCTCTCTGATGAAGGTTACCTCTCAATGGTCCGATTGAATGTAGATCAGGTATCAAGCCAGGTAGCAAAGA